GTAAGTGCATACATATATATATATATATATATATATATATACACACACGCGAACTCGTGGTAGAAAATCAGGGAGCAGAGCTCGGTGTGCACTTATGATCGGCCGGTCCTTCACGATCCAAACTCTCCCGGAGCCGCTGCCTCCCCCCCCCCCCTCCTCGTTCCCGTCGTCCTCGTTGTCGTCGAGGACGATAAAGTCGATTCATGCAAAGCGATCGCGCGTGCGCTCTTTCGTCGAAGGCGGATAATGACGTCGAACTTTCGAACCTACTGTTATTACCGTTACCGCGGAATGCCTCTCGCGCTCTTATGATTATTACCGAAGAAACGTTTCTCGGATCACCGGCGCGCGCGCTCGCGGGAACTTTCATGCGAGCACCAAGTACCGCTCGCGTGAGTCTAAGCGCGGAGTGTTCGAGTACATAAAACGGGATGGATACGTAAGAGGACTTGAACTATATCCTGCCAACGAGAGATTCAGCGTTGAAAACGCGTTTTTTATTTAATGACATAAAGTACATTGAAAATAATTTGTAACACTTCTCATATCCTTTTTAAATAACGAAAGAATTAAAATACCTTAATTATAAACACAATATCTTATCAATGAGAGATTTCAGTGTTAAAACGCATTTTAATGATGTGAAATATATTGAAAATAATAAAATTAAATAATAAAAGAATTAAAACACTTCGGTTATAAGCAAAATCCTTTAAAGAAAGGTACTCTTTTCTTATATATATAAATAATTATGACTTTTGCAAACATTTTCGATTATAATAAGCATTGTGAGAACTTTCGTACAAACCAAGTACCGCAAACATAATCTAGGCGTGGAGTACATAAATCGGGATGGATGTGTAAGAGAACTTGAACTATATCTTACCAATGAGAGATTCAGCGTTAAATCTTGCGTAAATAACGCGTTTGTTATTTAATAACATAAACTGTATTCAAAATAATTTCATTTTGTGCAACTTCTTATATCTTTTTTAAATGATGAGAGAATTAAAATACCTCTGGTTATAAACAAAATCCTTTAAATAAAATCACTTTTTTTCATATGCATATATTATTATAATTTTTGCAGACATTTTCAATATATTGTAATTAGCATTGTTTATCTATAAAAGAAAATATGTTAAGTATTGCGATTTTTAAGAACTATCGCACGAGAAAGAAGTATCGTATTATTTATTGCGAAAATAAATCTACGCTTCTATCTTATGTTAATCGTGTCGCTATTCATCAGCACGGGAACGCAAAATTCTTGCTTGCTCACGGCTCGATTCGTATTTCTGATTCATGCGCGTCCGCGAGCTCCTCCTCGTTTTACGGGGAAATAACGAGGCGCGAGAACATCGCTATCGTTAGCTTCGACGCTCATTCTTTCCCCCAGCAACCGCGCTCGGAGCATGACTGCAACATTATCGTCGGGACGTTATATTTTTATAGGCGGGTATCTCGGTGTTCATTCAGAAAATCATGCTTCCAGAAATACACGCCGCGACAGCAATTTCGTTTGGTATCCGCATCGCGCGAGACATGCGACGCGGAGCTGCATCGCGTTCGACTCTCTAAATTAGTGCGGCGTAAATTAACGTCGCATAGGTACGAGCTCATTTCTTCGCGATTCGTCAACGGAAATCTGATACATAAGTAAAATCCCGTCGCCCCGCCATTTATTCGTCTCGTCGCGCATCCCCACGAGAAGACAACAAATGCAATTTGCCTTTCCTAGAATAACCCCGTCGATTTTTCTCCTTCCTGAAACAGGGCGTTTACAAAACGGAGCGTGGAATTATTGCAGACGCCATAAACGTTTGTCGAATGAGATAAACGCGCGCATAATTATTTCACGTATCCGGTACGCGCGACTGCAAGTGCATCGCGATGCAACGCGGTCGCGAATAAATACTTGATCGCAGTCGCAACGACTGCCAGACATACGTCAATCTCGAGGAAGGTATTCAAAGTACAGGTGTCTCATCACCGAACGAATGCGATTTTAATGATGAATCGACTTTTCCCCGGCAAAAATTTTCAGAAAATGCTAACTAACAAATCGGCAAATACAAAATGTATTACACGTCTAATCAAAATTGCAGGACGAGTGTATCGGGTCATTCCTGCATCATTTATCGCTGCTTATAATATCACACCATGGCAAATGAATCGAGACAGAAAAGAACTACCGATTATCGGAATATCTATTCTATTTAACGTAATAAAACTAACCGCCGAGGTTAGTTTGTTACAAGTAATGTCGATCAAGGCCCCATATGTCCGAGCTCCGGGAAAACAGAAAAGGCTGAGTAAGTCGACGAGGTTGACTTGACGAGGTTTTCGTTTCGGGCCAGTTTGCGGTGAGTATGTAATGGGATCGAGAAAACACCGGCGAGCGTGAGTATTGGGATCTCGCTCCGTATTTCTGCGTGATGCTTCCCTGCCGGGGAGAGACTAAGGGGCCCATTACACGGCCATAAAACCCATGGGCTAGGCTTCATGCACTGTTATACGCATCCCGTGCAACTGGTAAAAAGAAGGAAGAGGGAAAAGAGAAACGCCACACGTTGTTCTATCCACGACACTCACGCACGCAGCACGAAGGGAATCTACTCGGATGTTAGGGAAAGGAAAAGAATTAAAAAGGGAAAAAGAGCCTGTTACGGTCTCGCTGTGGATGGTCTCCACGGTAAACAACGATGTTACAAATTGGGCGAAATGGCGAAGCTATTTATAAGGCGACTGCCAGCGGATAGTTCATCGATCTCTTTTCTTCGAAACGAAATTAGAATGATAAGAATTTTCCTGTTGCTTAGGAAAAAAAAATTACAGTGAACGATTACAGTGTACCATAATTATTACGAGCTACGAGCTACGTGGAGTGAAAAAGAGAGAGGAGTAGTTATAGTGATCATAACAGTGTAAAAAAATTACATACGCTCGATGCGAGGAGCGTCGCTTTTTCGATGTAGGAAACAGAGTCCGATGTAGCAGCTTCAAACCACAAACTGCACATGGAGCGGAGTTTGTGCACATTCTATCAATCGGCGGCTGCGCAAAAAATCCATGTACGTCTAAGGAGCGTGGCGAATTTATTGCGCACAATGTGGCGCTTTATTGCCGCGGTAAGAAACGCGTGACCTTTGCCGACCGGCAAGAAATATATATCTTTTCCTAGAGATCGTACGGGAAACGTATATGTGTGTCTGTGTACGTGTGTGTGTGGCGAGACGATAAAATTTTATATAAGATTCGTATGAGTGACAAACAAGACAGAGCCGCGACGCGGAAAAACATTGGACGCACTAACTCCGAGTTTCCGCGTCTCTGTCCTTTTCGATGATAAAATCGATTCTAGATTATTTTGGCCTCTCCGCTCCGCGACGTGCCGCGAATCCAAGCACTCGGATCGGCGAAAAATGGGCTAAAATAGATGAATGCTTTGTCAAATGGAAAAATACCATTTGAAAATTAAACAAAGATGAAAATTATAAGAAGACGAAACAGTTAAAGGATTGACATGAGACTATGTAATTTGCGCTGGGTATTCGCGAAATTCATAGATTCGTAAGAAAGTCAGTCCGATAGCAGGCGAATCGTCAAAACGAGTATGCTTTCCGGGAATCTATTAGAAAGAAACGCTACAGGCGCGCAGCATGCAGAATTCTGGTGAATTTATCGTGGCTGCTGCTGAGCACCGCGCATAGAGAAGTCATAAAGCGTTATATAGATGCCGCCCGAAAGCGGCGAATATAAAAGAGCACCACGTTGGAAAGTCGTGTAACGTGTTCGGATGAA